GATGATGATAAAGTCATTTTTTGCCATCTATGTACAACAAGTACATCATATTATGCTTAATTGTCAATATCATCTCTAGATCCTGAAACAAGACATAAAATTACCCTTATCACTGTAATCGTCCACCATGACTATCTCTTGCAACATGTGTGGGGGTGATCTGTTTATAACGCTGTGAACTGTGCGTAATAAGGTGGACCACCCTTCATTGTGAAACACTATTACAACACTAGCCTTGGGGAGAGTTTGTGGGTATTTGCGCCTCTTGCATCTGAAAGAGACAGAAAGATAATTTACAGCTTTTAAAGACAAACTAAACCCTTTTAACTGACTGTACACAACAACTAACAGTAACTGTATTCACATGGAAATGTTGAGCTGTCAACCATCTATTTTAGCTTTAGCACTTTAGTTCTCCTTAAGGAGTACCTCCTAGCCTTAGCATGAATATACCTTAGGAGGTAGTATGGCCTGGCAATTAGGGCACTGGCCCTAAATAACAAATCGAATGTGGTTTAGTGTGGTCTGTACTCTTATCGACAACGATATGTGCCATCACAGTGGACTCAGGAGGCACAGCCGAGTGAGTCCACAACAAATTTTGACCACTGTGATGACGTGTATCGTTGTCAATAAGAGTACAGACCACGCTAAACCACATTTCGATTTGTTTTTCACCACAATATGAACGTCAAAGAAAATGTTTTTTTCAGAGCCTGAACTGGAAAAGGTATCGCGTGATGCATTGACTCTTATCGACAACAGAAATTAGCCAATCAGATTGCAAGATTCATAGCAATTATGGTAAAAAAAATTAATTTAGTAGAATTCTACTAGACTAAGTACACTAATGCAAATGCTGTGATCTGATTGGCTGAGCTACTCGTATACTATCAGCCATTAGAGTACAGTGGCTGGAGGTCATCCACATAATGGCAAGGTTTTCTGGTTTCTCTAATGTTTTGCGGATGATTTAGAAATATTACGGGATAATATAATTCTGAAGAACACTAAAGAAAGAAAGCTGACCGTTATGCGACTGTAAAACATCAAAACTTCTTAGTGAACCGATGAGCACATGTCCACTGCTGCAAGTTTCCAAAACCAATACAATCTGTGCGATTTTGCTAGAGCGTGAAGTTTAATACTACATTGAGAAATGATTGGAAATTGCTTTTTGAAGGAAATTTAGTTAGAATTCTACCAAAACAATTAGATTATTTACTCTTGATTTCTACCTCATAGAAATCTCAAGCTCAAAATCTAATTGTTATACAGAGGTCCATGGTCCTAAATTGACATGTCCTCCTCCTCCCTACAAGGAGCTACATGATCCAGGTACTATAGATGACGAATGCTTCACTGGTCCTGAATTCAACTCTTCTGATGATACTTTATTATCACCAACGGATCAGCCTTAGGATTCTCAACTATTACTGCCAAACGCCCAAAATCCCAACCTGCATGGCCAGAGAGGGTTCCTGTCTGTTTGCTGTCAGGCCGCTTACCCTTGACAAGCACGAACTACCGGAGGCAGATACCTCCCGCTGGTATAGCATTTTAAGCACTCAATGAGAGAGCTCTCAGTAGCTGACAAATCCAAACAACATACAAAAGGAACACCACTCAATTGGACTATGAAATCAGGACAGGTTGTAAAACAAGATCACCTCATGCAATTTAAGTGTACGTTTTAGATCCTGCGAGTGCAACCCACAATTCCATCATAAACAGGGTTTGTCCTTTACTTCCTGTTATCGGAAAGTGGATGCAGAAAATGTGCATAAAGGACAAGTTGAAGCAAGCATGCTGTACAACCATAGATTTGCCTGAAACATCTCACTTTAAATTCTATTCTATCTTAAGAATACAGTTCAACATCACTTCAGTGAAACCTGTATTAAGCGGACACTCTTGGGACCCTCACTAGTGTCTGCTTTATACAGGGTGTCCACTCTAAGCAGGTTCTAACACATTGTGCAATAATAGTTAATTATTAACCCTTTTGTAACTCAGTGTAACACAGTGTATGATCAAAGACTGCTCATAGCACAATGTCCAGTCAGTCAATGCATCAATCTGAAATAATCCACTTAGCTTTGAAACCATATCACTGAACAATGTTAAAGGAGTCTATGCTGAGCGTTTAGAAGTAGAAAGCCCTTGAAGTGTCCACTTGTTGCAGGTTTTGTGCAACAAAATGACTTAATATTACTGTCCTTGTCTACTTAACAGAGGTGCTCACTGAATGCAGGTTTATTTACAGTAAATTTAGGAGGAAAATTTTGGGACTCAAGCTGGTGTCCACTTTATAGAGGGTGTCCGCTTTATGTGGGGTCCACCCAATACATGTTTCATTGTATCTTGAACTAAGCTATCTTGAATACCCACTTTCTCGAACTCAGTAATGTTTTTTGTTTCACTAAGAGCTCCAGAGAGAGATTCAACTGCACTTCCTTAAGAAATACAAATAGACTACAGCAATGCCAGCTAAATAATTTATGATTCATGACTATTTGATGGGATTATGCTGTGTGATATCTGATAGAAGCAAAACAATGACATCCATACCATAATAGACATAATAGTTAATTCCCAAAAGAAAATCATGTGACTCTTTCAGATCAAAAAATCAATAGATATGTCTGGCATGTGCAATTGAAAAAATGGAGCAATAAGGGAGATGTTAAAAATTTTAAAACTCTGAAAGTATCTTTTTTTCTTTATGACGGTACAAAATTCCATGTTTCTCATTAATATTTCAAAAGTTCCGACCTAAATATCAAACAATGAGATGATCCCAGAAGAAAACAAAATACTGAGAAAGTCCTTAATTTATACTTACGCTGAATGTCTGGTATCTTTGATGGAACGATCCAAAGAAATCTGATCGCTGACAAATTGATTGAAGCCATATTCTGAATAAGCTCTGCTTTTCTTTTGTTCGTTTTCTGGCTCCGTTACGACAGGCTCCCCGTTTGAACCTGGTCCGCCTGGAATGATTTTATCCTTCTCCGGCGTCCAAAACTCCTCAATGCTTATCATGTCGCCGAGTTTAGGGTGCGAGTCTGCCACGTGGATCGGATCCAGTTCGTATTTTGAACAGCCACTGAAACCGCAGTTTGCGAACAAATACACAACCGCACAGGTGACTAAAATTGCCAAACATTTGCAAGTTCTTTTCAACTTGAATCGCATGACCGAGGTGTAAAGCAAAGGTTTCCTTTCGGCCTAAGACAGTAAAATGCAACGACACAATAAGCTGCAGCTTTACCAATTAAAAAATTCAGATTTCTCCAGAAGAATTCGGTAAAATGGTTTGTCTGCTGTCTCTCAAATGCCGAATTCAGCAATCCATGGCATCTTTGAAGAATTAACTGCAGTTCATCAGTGAAATCCTTGTACATCCACAAGCGCTTATTGCAACTGTAGTTAGCAACTAACGTAGCCCAAGAGATCACTTGAAACCAAGGAAGTTACACCAGCTTGAATGCTTCAGGTCAACTCGCTATTTACACCGGTAGAAGGGCCTTTGTGCTTCCACCACAACAGAAACCGCAAATGCAAGAATGATAGGACGACCAATCGAGATTTGTTAAGCAATCCCACATCTAGGTTTTGAGCGTAATCAAATCAAGTTGACGACATAAATATTCACTACTTGAGAAAGACTCGATGAACTGCCGGGAAAATGAACTGCAATTGAATCACGCGAAATTCCTTGACCAAATAAATTTTCCTGATGCATTTGTTGGCATCTTCCAGCTCCGCTTTTCCTCTAAAGGTCCTCTGGTTGCTTATTTAAAAGTACTTTCGTAGAATTTCCAGAAAAATAGAGCAGCAAGGAAAAGAAATAACTAAAATATTTGAAACAGCTCGTACCTCCTCGCACCTATCCACGTACGTATATTTGGCCAGCAGTGCTTACCTTTCAAGGAAGGTCTTCATATAATGGACATGAAGTTGATCACAAAAACTTCCGACTCAAGAGCTCAATCAATTTATTTTTCACTTCGTGCAACTTTTTACAATGGCCGACCAACCTTTATCGCTTTACATTGATCCGTAACATATTCTGAATATTTTGCAAATGATCGAAATTTTTAGCAAGATTTCCGCTTATATTCTCACGTCAACGGATTCTCTTTTTCCCGCTCAATCTCTCCACGCTCTCTTTCCGAAAAGTTTTCGCACCCGGAAAGCCATAGCAAAATCTCAAACCTTATGATTACAGAGCTGTTTTATAAACATATTCTTAGTATGAACCAAGGTTCCCTCCATACAAGAAGTTTCAGTCGCATACACTTCTCTGTTTTTAGATACAGATCAAAATGCCTTTGCGGGCCGAAAAAGTTTCTGGGGTTTTCGAAAAACGGGCCCTCTGGGCCGGAAATAAGAGAGAGATCGAAATAGTATGAAAATATTGTATGAAATAGTATGAAAAACGAGGATCCGTAATTTACAGTACGGACCGAGAAAACGAGGTTAGTAAGATTTTTATTATATCTCTACTGTGTGTCCACGCAGAACGGCGTGAAATTTCTGACGCACCTGACTCTGAAGTCGTTAGCAAGTTTTAATACACAATTTCAGAAGTAAAAGAAAGTTTTAAACTTTTACTTGCTAAAAAAGTTAAGAACACTTGACGAAACGTTTTGGCAACAAAAACAGCTATAAATTTTAGCGTTTTAGCGGGCAGTACAGTAGAATTGACTAATCACCTCGCGCGTAGTAACTGAGAGATATAACAATGGACGGTAAGCCATGCAATTCATCAGTGATACTCTGACGGATCGAATACTATCTATCGGATCTGATCTCTCTATCAAGTGACGTTAGAATATTGGTGAATCATTGGTGAATAAGTTTTGGATATCTCCATGGCATAATAGGTTACCCTAGCAACAGTTCAACCTGTTAAAAACACCCTTAATTCAGTTAGCTTTAAGCGCTTACAACTCAAAAACGGCCTTCTGAGACATTTCAAGCAACTTTTCGAGAAATTTCGAACAACTTGTGGACAGCACAATCTATACAATAACGTCATTTATTGAGCTGGTATTACATGACAGTGTCGCGTGATTTGTTTTGGTATACATTCAAGGCTTTCGCAGTTGCCCTAACATCCAGGTATCCACAGTGGAAGATTTCAATTTATCCACAAGAACCTCATCAATCGTTACGCCTTTTTCGTTCACGAGACCAGACCACGGACCACGAGCAGGTTCAAAATCGTCGATCTGATAATTCTGTCGGTCACGCCACGCCGCGTGACAGGACTGGACTAAGCCCCCACGATCACGAACAGATCCTTCTTCCTCGCCTACGAGGATCATTCCTTCAAGCAGCGAGCTCCATGGCCATGCCGATACGGATGCCCGTTCGGACGACGGTAGAATGCGCCACGGCGCTATTAACGTTCAGCGGTCACAGCAGGTCACGTCACGTCAAATGTAACGTCAAATGCCGATTACGCTCAAAGGTCAAATTGGCATGTGCTTTTATTTTGGCGGTTTGTGGATGCCATCTGTCGAATTTGGTAAGTGTTTCGTGTCCCTTGTCATGCATGTATTCGATTATTTCCTCCTGGTTCGAAAAGATGACTTTATATTTGGCTACCAGTAAGTTAGGAAATGGTCGCCATATGAAAATCGTTGGGGTTCTGGGCATGTGACAGTTTATAATTGAAGCGCTTCGCGATCGTGCTGTATTTCAAAGTGATCTGTCGTCTATTTCAGCCGAACGAAAATTGAGACAAGAGCATTAACGGTGAGTCGAACGATTTGTTTTAACTGCGCTGTAAAATGGAAGTGTTTGTTTTGCATTTGAAAGAGAAGCGAGCGAGTAGCGGTCGGTAGCCTTCTTGTCCTTCTTCACGGACATCGTTTCGTTTCGTAGAGCACTCCTACCCAACGGAATTTACAAGAATCCTAAGTACGTCCGGAGGAGGTTAGCGAGCGAGCAATAGCTGCCAAGAGAGCTAGTATAGAGCTCGCTCGCGGGTTAGCAAGCAGAAGTGCGCAATAAGCCAAGTGAACGCTCTTGTATGACTGACGTGAACGATGTTGATGACAGCAATTCTGTTCTCCGTTGAAATCGTTGAAATTTTTTAATTACTCCCACTTCGTGCGCAAAAGGGACATCCACGAAAAGCTTTTTCCACTTGAAGCAAACCAAATGGGTAAAATAATGACCATACTTTATTTTACCCCCCACCCAAGGGGGGGGGGGCACTCTCTTATATGGGTTGTATAGGTGTGTGGCAAAGGGTATGGTTTTTCAGCGGTTTTGGTGATAAATAGGGTATCGATTTGTTCATTTTGGTCTTAAAAAGGGTATGATTTTTGTATTCTAGTCTTGAATTGGGTATTTTTTTTTTTAGAAAAAGCTACTTTTTCATCATTATCGGTAAGAGCATAAACAAAAGTCGTTCAAAAATCATGTTTAGGGCAACTATGTCAGCCGCAACGGTCTTAAATAGGGTACCAAATTTTTGGTCAGGTCATAAATAGGGTAGGGAAAATCGCAGATTTTGGTCATAAATAGGGTAAGGGTTTTGGGAAGTGGGCCACACACCCCCACTAAATTTTTCTGGGAATACTCCCCCCCCCCGGGTATTTTGCTCTCGTGTAATCTTGGTTTGAGTGTAGACACCCCGTGGTGAAACCTGGATGTCCGCCAGGAATTCAATAAATCTCTTCCAAGCAGAATAAAAACCTTCTCTTCTTCTTTCTCACACGCACAAAAATCTTAACTTTACCAAAAACACCTTCAACGAGTTATAAATTTTACTAAACATCAAAGGCGCTAAAATTCCGTGCTGTGGTTTTCCGATATTTGACTAATTTTGTCAAAAGTTTCAGAAAAAAACTCGGTTGNAATTTTACTAAACATCAAAGGCGCTAAAATTCCGTGCTGTGGTTTTCCGATATTTGACTAATTTTGTCAAAAGTTTCAGAAAAAAACTCGGTTGTCGCACTCATTCAAATATAAATCACTGGTCAACGCTTGTGACAATTTGGCTATTTCTTGACAACGACTCATTACTCTAATTGATAACCTGTGGGTATTTTATACCAGCATTCCAAATGTGATGAAACTAGAACTGCGTTGAGAGAACAGGACGAAACTGTAGTCTGCATGTCTCATCCAGTTAATTTGATATATACTAGGGTACCTAAATGATAGTAATGCTGCGGCACATTCTGTTGATAGTGACATATTTTACGCAGTGATTCATCTAGAACTTCATGAACGATGACGCATCGAGGGCTAGGTGTGACAAGGGATCGTGACAAAAAGGCAAAAAGTGATCTGAACTATGTTTGGACATCAAACGATACACATCAACCTAGCTCCCCTCTACCAGATCTCGAAAATCGAAAGATGTCTAAATTGTAGGAGAAAAAATCTAACTTATAAATTCTGTCTCTAGCTTTAGCTTAAATTCATGTTTGGAAGAAAAGGAATAGATCGCAGCATATATGAAATTAGCGTGTTCTACGGTTTTCGTTTGTTTTAATTATTCTACAAGCTTTAGTAACGATGATTTCTCTTCATTTAAGAATTCGACCAAGGAGGCGAGCTTTCTAAGAAATGACATACTAAGTTTAAAATTAAGTTGTCACAATTAATCAAACTTTCACAAACTGCATTAAGAACAAAAGCAAGTGTTGTGAAAGTCAAGCACGATCTCCTTCACATCGTTTTACAGGTAAAACCACTAATTTCTCTGACTGGAATCTACGCGAAAGAGGACGACGGTTCGACGTCGTCGTGTTGTTCGTGGAGCAATGCACTCTGGTAAAAAGTGGCGCAGTGCACTCTGGTTAAATGCAATGCATTCTGGTGTAAAGTGATGAATTCGAGAATTCGTACCCCCTTCAATAGATTCTTCTTAAATCCTGATTATGTTGTTGCTCGCTCGCTACGCTCGCTCCGCAGCAATAACTTTTGAATTGATTAGAGTGACTATGGAAGATAAGTTCGCAACGCGATTTATTCTTTTCGATTTTAATTTCCTTACTAAACACGAATTGAAAAAGTGCTGACTGCCTAGAAAGGAAGAAAGGAAGACAGATCCGCAACGCGTCCACAGAGTGAATGGACCAAAAGCATATATTGAATGCTCTATCGCGAATTTTAGTGTTTTAGAACTGACAAACGCAGATGACCGAACGCATGAACGTAAAAATGAAGCTACTTTTAAGAGAGAGATTGAGTGCAAAAGCATGTGTATAGACTTTGTGTGGTGGTTTTTGAATGTAAGTAATTTTTAGAACAGTTTTTCTTTTTTTTAAGATGGATGTAGAACATGAAATATTGGACAAGGTCAATGAAATTCGAGAAGCACAGGAGGAAATGGGGGAAACGCTTGAAAACATCCAAGGTAACCAAGATGATGACGGACCTGAAATATTGGAGAAGGTCAAAGAAATTAGAGAGGCACAAGAGGAAATGGAAGGACAGCTTGAAACTATCAAATATGATCAACAAGATGTCAGAGAATCTGTTGCGATCCTTGATACTAAGATAAAGCAAATTCAAAGTACAGTTGATAATATTGAAAGTGAAGTTAATGATGTGACAGACAAACTGGAAGAGATCGTAGAAAACCAAGAGAGACTATTTAACTTGCAAAATAAAATGTTTCAATTCCTGCAACAACAACAACACAGAGGAACGCAGTGATGTAATGCAAGTAGTCTAATAAACGAGCCTTTCGATGAAGGGATTGTTTTGCCTTTGAATTAAATTTCTTGCAATGTCAGTTGTCAACCAACTATCAAGTTAAGTACTCAAGGATTGTTTAGAAGCTTGTTAGGAACGTTGCCTTGTTCCCTCCTTCGCGCCAGCGGAATCCTTGGTTACATCAACGCTGATCTCGCCCCAATCCCAGTGAAAGGAAGGGGTTGAAACGTTACCCGCCTCCGGCAACCACCACGGAGTGTACCTGCCACACGGTGAACCTATCATACGGTGCACCTTCCACACGGCAACCACCACATCGTCACGATACCCCTACCATACAGTCAACCATTATATGGTTGGTGCATCCACCACACAGTCACTTACCATATGGTGCACCCACCATGCGGTGCGCCCAACATGGGTCTTGATTTCATATATCGGTCTATATTCACTCGCTGTATTGAATGTTCATTTAAAACAATTCCTGTTTACTTTTTCAAGCGCCGCTAGATCTTGTTTACGACAAAAGTTAGACGATTTGCCACCATCCTAATTTTAAGACCGTATTTATCACCCCTTCAATCCCAGTGTGAAAGGCCTATTTAAACCATTCCGCCAGCACGGACTATGGACTTAGAAATTGTGAAAACAAATTGGCTCTGCCTAAGCCCCGTACTGATTTTTTGAAACGTAGTCTCTGCTACAGTGGGGCACATTTGTGGAATAGCCTTCCATCTAACTTCAAATAAATCTTTTATTGAGTTTACGTATGAGATAAATCGCCAACTGTCCTCCTCGTACTCCCACACAAGGAAACATGTAAATCAGTTTTGTTTTTAATATATCTCTATCTTGTAACTGATGTTTTTAAATAAAACCTCGTGCCATCCAGTTCATAGTAAAGAGGAATAAAGCGCCAATTCCCCTTCGACTCATGTTAGCCGGGACTGTAACCCAGCTGTCACTTCAGCTCTCCTCATCCGTTGTTCTTCACAGGGTTACGTGACCAATTACACAATGAAGAATACAAAAGCAAAAACCGACACAACGTAGGATGATTTTTTGAAGGTGTACTATATTTCGGCTGGCCAAACCAGCCTTCTTCAGGTACAATGGAAAATTTTACATTGGTGCGTGTTTTTATGTAGCCGATATTTACGTAATACCGGAAATACGCAAAAGTAATAGATAGTGTAAATTAAAGATAAGCATACGGTAAAATAAAATAACATGATAAAAGAACATAATAAAAGAAAACAAATGGAAACAATTAATATGTTTCTTCGCGGATGTTCAGACCATTAGGATCAATTGTATTCTTCATTTTATATGTGAAGCCGATTAGATCACTATTGATCCAACGTCTACCAGCAGGATCATCGTTCCGGTTGCTTGCTTAAACATTTTATAGCCAATTACACAAGCTTTGCCCGATAAGGGTTTGCAAGGTAGCATTAAGACGATCTGCTTTGATGGAACGTGTTCTTGGAATACGACGACCAAAGCTACGTATTTGGTGAATTTTCTGTCATAAGCACATCACCTCATAACCACAATCACCATTTTACCCCCCGGGCCGGGGTGACTTCCATATGAAAAAGACGGGGGTACTTGTCATACCTTTTAGGGGTTGAAAACAGCATTTTTGGTATCTCTTAGAGTGTTAAGCCTCAAAGGGTCCACAGCAGGAGCTTTTGTGGTACCTTTTAGGGTATTGAGCCTAAAAAATATGACAGGAGATAATGTGTTATGTAAGAATTAGTATCTCTTGGGGGAAAAAATTCAAGCCAAGCACACAAAACAGGATCTTGGTAGCTCTTAGGGGTTCTTTTCAAAATTTTCGATGAGCACCCCCGTCATTTTTATACGGGAGTCCCCCACCCCCCGGGCTTTTTACCTATTTTTGCTACCTTATGAAATCTTATTTTCAAAATCTGCATTAAATATATTCCTCATTACGTGCTTGTTTTCCATAAACCCTCATCGCTCATGACAGAATACGAGGTTTGTATCAACTGAACCCTCTTCCTACCTTTGCTCGTGTAATATATCAAACACGAGAGACAGTGTTTCATCGGGATATCCAAACACCGAGAAGAGAGTTGAAAATACGACGCGCAGCGGAGTATTTTTCACGAACTTTGAGATGTTTTTAAATGTGGTCAAACACTGTCTTGAGTGTTTGATATATCTTCTTAAAACTATGGAGAAAACGTAGAANGATATATCTTCTCAATCGAAACAAAAACTAAGGAGTAAACGGAGAAGTAAAATCGTCAAAATCTATGTTAATAAAGACCGGGCATCCAAACCTCCATCACGGTTGTGAATTTCTTTGTTTTAACTTGATGAATTATTAATGAGTTTGAGAAGGAGAATAAAGAAAAGGAAAAATGAAAGAGCAAATAACAGATAAAAGGCTTCGTGACACGGCTTTTCCTCATCGTCACACAACACAAATTATTAGCCATCGGTCACCGGATAATACTGGTCAGCGTCAGCGTTTTGTTCGTAAGGTTTCGAAAAAGTTGTTGAAAAATGTTTGGACAGATGTTGTCACCTAGCTTTTTTACAATTATCACCTCCAATTTGAGAACTGAAGGATGCTAGTTAATCCAGCTAAAGCTTTGACAAAACAGTCTTATCGATTTGGGTGGTTTTATACCAGCAAATACTCAAGTTATCTTTCGTCCTGGCTACTGCTTCAATGATGGCCCAGTTTCAACTTTTCGTGATGTTTATTGTGTTTAGAACTTGTCACGGAGCGTTACAATGCAAACATGTTGGCTGTGGTGAATCGACCAGCAGGTATACAGAACCGTACGAATCGCAAAGTGTTACAGACGAAATCCCGTATATGATTTCTCCAGAAGATTTCTATTACAAGTTTGTGGCCAAGCATAGACCACTTGTTTTGAGAAAGACGGCGACCAACTGGCCTGCAAACAAGGTGTGATAGAGAATTTTATTTATGTTTTGCCATGATTTGCTGACTACATTTCTCGTTTTGTATTATACCACAAAATTGCTTTAAGCCATGGGGCTATTTTTTAAAAGGGCTGTTTTTATGCAAAAAGAAGCTTACCAAGTGGTAGGAAATCATGGAATGACCAAAAGATTAATGGGGGAGGTGGGAGGGAGAGAGACAAAATCTGTCTATGTGGTCATGGCTTAAGTTCATGTTAAATTTTACCCCAATTCCAAATGTCTTATTGATGAGTTAAGAAGGTAAACTGCAAATCGCACCATTAACAATAAAAGGAAAAAAAAAAATAAAATAAAATAAAATTCAGGAAGAAGAGCTGACACCAGACCACAAGATCACTCAATTTCCTGTTTTATGGACTAGGGAACTAGGGACTAGGGTTTGATTGAATCACTGTACTTGTATTTAGCACCAAATCACTAGCAGCTAGTGCTGCATAATTTGTATATAGATTGTCCCATCCCCCCCCCCCCTTCTTCCTCCCCTCCCTTTGCTCAAAGGAGTCTAAGGTTGATTGCTACTATAGCTAAAAAGCCTCAAGTTAAATTTATTCTTTTTCTTCTCCATTTCTGATACATGCAGATATGGACAGAAAAATACCTCATCCAGGCCTTGAACAAATTAGGATCACAGGTTTTAGCTACAAAGAGAATCCAAGACTTCCCTTTTGGTCCTAAACTTCACATGCCAGTTGAAGAATTCTTCGTAAGATCTGTACAAGATGATTTGACACTTTGTGATAAACCAACATCCCAGATGCTTAACGACATTACAGCTCCCCTTTGTTTGCGATGCCAGCAGTTTCTGAAGAACATGAAAGTCCAATATTGGTTGCGGCGTTACCAAAGCAAAGCATCAATGCCATTGTTTTTCCATCCAGATGAACAACTGCTTACTGTTGTCAATGGAAGTGCAAAAGTGACTCTAGTCTCACCATTATATTCTGAAAAACTCCCTTTCGATGATAAAGAGTTAATGGTAATTTCCAGCGTTAATCCAGGTGATAATAATATTTAAAATTATTTCAATTTAAAACTGTGTGTTCTTCTTCTTATCACGCACACAGGAATGCCACCTAATGATATTCATAACTCAACTCTTTTAACAACTTTGACATTCAGTGATTTTTTATTCTTGATAATGATGTTGGATACATCGAAATGTTGAACAACGTCACTCCTTAATATATAACTTAGGAATTGCTTATTTAATATATTTGTTCCCCCTCAGCCCAGTTGTAGAAAATAAAAAAAATGTCTAATCAGAATAGAGCTAAAAAAATTGATGGCCATTGAAGTTTGCAAATTTTGTGGAAACATTTATTTGATCTTCAATGGCTCTCTATCACTACAAGTATTCTCAGAAACTATCAGTCAACTACTACTGGAAGAAGCCATTCGAGAGACAACCAGTACAATGATTTATGTACCACTAGGTTACATGTAAATAATTTTGTCTTTCAGATATTCTCTCAAAGCTCTCATCTGGAGGTATTCCACACTTGACTGTAGAACTTCACAAGGGCGACATGCTTTACATTCCTCAAATGTGGTGGCAACATATAACGTTATCAGCTGATAACAACCTGCTTGTCCAGTTTTCATGGCCCTCACAAATGCAGACAAATTCTTATCCAAAGTCATCGTCTGAATCAAAAGGTAACTAATCAAATAAGTGAAAAATATCCATAATTTATCCAGCCCAAGGAAGGTTACTGGGAATTTTAATAGGGAGGGGGATTTAAAAGCCAAAATTTTTAAACTGTTTTTTTTCCCACCAACTGAGACCTACCAATCATCTAGTTGGAATTATCCCTGAGGTTAAACAAAGAAAATCAATCTAAAATTTCTAAAGTTTGCCCTGGGCAAGTGCCACAAGCCCAGGATCTTTTAAAAGGATGGGAGAGAAGATTATTATGAGAGCAATGTTCTTAGGCCAAGAGCACAGCACAATGATCCTGGAAAGAACAGATCAATAATTAATAAATGTTCCTTTTCTGATGGGTTCCTGAAGATTTATTTAGCAACCTACTAAGTAATATTAAAAGCATTCAAGGCAGGGTTTTCAGAAGTGGATTAACAGTCGTCCAGAATTAAAAGCAGATCAAGGTTTAATTTCTCTTCTTTTTCATTGCTTATGTTGCGTAGAGTTTGAGATAAGTCAACAACAAAAATTAAGGAGCAGAAAGTGTTATCAACAAGAATATTTTTAATTACTGATTAATCTATGCAATTTTTAGACAAACAACTTAATATGCAAGCACTGTTAAGAGGTTTGCTCAGAAAATATGAAGAGAGATTATTGATGATGGATGTGCCACTTCTTGATTGCCCTCAACAAGACAAAAGGATGAGTGACTTCACATTTGAAACAGGAAAGATGACTCCCGAAGAATACCAGGCAATACACAATGGTCCTGACTTTACTGAGGTAACTATGCCGGGGGGGAGGGGGGGGGGGAAGAACTCCCATATTAAAAGATGGGGTTGTTTGTCAGAAATTTTGAAAGGAACCCCTAAGAGGTACCAAGATCCTGTTTTGTGGGCGTGACTTGAAATTTTTTTCACCCCCAAAAGGAACCAATCCTAAAACAACACATTATCTCCTGTCACATTATTTCAGCTCGATACCCGTAAATGTACCACAAAAGCTCCAGCTTTGGACCTTTTGAGGCTGAACACCCTAAGAGGTACCAAAACTGCATTTTTAACCCCTAAAAAGTACGATGAGCACCCCTGTCCTTTTTATTTGGGAGTCTCCCGGGAGTCTAAAGTGTTTTCAGTTCTCAACGAGAGTCAGGAATTATAACGTAAGGTTTGTTTTAGTTTTACCTTTCACCACACATTTGTTCATGTTCCTCTTGCTTTCGTTTAGCCATTTCTTAACTGACGTAATTTGTAGTTCTCACCGCACGCTTCATAGATTAACATAATAAATCCAGAAAGCAATGAATTGAAGTGTGCTGTTTGAACACAGCGAATCCCGACCGATACTTCCATAGCAAGGACTCGAGTCGGGAACGCGACAGACTGAGTGGGAGAACTAGAGAATGTACTCAATGTAGGAACGCGTTTTGAGTGCCAGCAAACTAATATCATATAAACTTCCGGTTGAATAAAAATGTCTTTCAACCGTGCATTGAACAAGTTTCACATGTATACCGTCTGCAGCGGTTGGAGTTGGGAGTCGAACTAACTAAAGGTAAAGGTAGTTAATTAAAAAATAATAATCCCATTACAGCTCAGTTCTACCGTTTTGTCCTTTAAGTTACCTTTTCTTTGCCTTCATCGTCTTCGATTTCCTCGTCATCTTCATCGTCACCTGAATAGGAGTAACATTTACCGCAAGAACAAAGTAAAGTAAAAATTTGCCCCACCATTTGGTTGTGGATTTTTCAGCAAAGAATGTCGCAGTGCAGCTGTTTCAGTCACAAGCTAATTTGGAGGTTTTGAAATCTTTCACAAACTTTTCAGAAAAGCAACAATTGGGAGAGAAAAAAACTAATCAGAAATCCTTTTAATAAGGAATTATTAACGTCAACTCTTCAAACACACTCATTTTGTTTCATTGAGTTCACGTCTCTCTTATAAATTACCCCACCCCTCGTCCCAACTTTCTATCGTTTATAATTCTACATGTACCAAAAATTGCCAAAAATTAATACCAAAATAATAAGAAACAAATATCCAGTGCTCCACAATGCCACCAGAAAGGCGAACTCTCGTTAGATTTAATTTTTTTTTTTTCCC